CTGGAACTCAGCCTTAGCCTTGACCATCTGCCTCAGATGTTTGCTCTCTTGCTCTGAGTAGGGCAGAGTTGGTGTGTAGGTCTCCATGTTGTTTTATTCTTGTTCTTTGAATTTTGAAAAAAAAAAAGTGTTATTTTATATATTACTGTGTGTGTGTGAATGCAGGTATACATATGCATACCATAGCACACATGTGAAAGTCAATGACAGCTTGTTGGGGTAGGTCCTGCCTTTCACCATATGGGTCCTGGGGACTGAACTGGTCACCAGGGTTATGTGGCAAGGCCTTTCCTGGATGAGTCATTTAGCCAGCCCTTTGTCTTTTGAATCCTTTAGAATTTCACCTTCCATTTATGTTTTCATTATTTACTTGCCATTTTCTCACTAAGAAGGCATCAAATTTGAACTTGTATTTGAAAACTACCCCATCACTGTAGTATCAAAACTATGAGAGCAGGCACAGCACTCAGCCTAGCCATCCTCCAGGGAAGCAGCGTGCACTGCTACACCCTGAGGCAGCCTTACAGTTCTTCATATGGTCATTTCACCAAACTTCTTGTGCCACTGGGCCAAACTCCTTCCCCAGGCCACTGGGCCAAACTCAAACTCACTGTGTAGCCAGGTCTGGCCTTGAATTTCTGAGGCCTCTATTGCTGGAGTTACAGGTGTATACTGACGTACGCAGCATGTTTCTGTTTTGTGAGTTTGTGAGGCACAGTCTCCTGTAGCCCAAGCTAGTTTTCATTTCCACATGTAACTAAGGATAACTGAACTGACCCACCTCTGTTGGGATGCCAGGCATGCACAGTGTGCCCAGCTTTGTTAAGGTTTTAAAGTCATAACTTCAGTGCTAACTGTGTAGATGGTTCAGTTTTTCTTATCAAGGGTTTTATGCATTTTGTGGCTATGCAGTAGATACATTGTAAGATCAAATCTGTTATAGCATCCATTGTCTTTCATTAAAAGTTCTACTTGTTTGAAACATCATATATGTATTATTTTATTTACCAGTTTTAAAAGATGAAATTTACTTATTTTAGTTAACTGTAATAATCTGTCCTGGGTTGAAGACATCATTCAGTGATTAAGAGCCCTGGCTGCTTTTTCAGAGGACCCAACTTTTGTTTCTAGAACCTTCATGGTGGCTCACAACTCCAGTTCCAGGGGATCTGATGCCCTCTTCTGGCCTCTGTGGGCACCAGACATGCACATGGTACACAGATATACGTTCTCCAAACACCCATATACATAAAATAAAAATGAATAAATTTAAAAAGGTTGTCTTTAATACTCAGAAGACTCTCCGTTTGTGAGATTACAGAGACCACTGAGTGTTAGCACTTTCCTATAGTTTAATATAGGAAATCTTGAGTTAAGTGTTTTATTGATTCAGCAAATATTGCTCCTTTGTATTAGATAGCAGTGAAGAAACAACTTTGGGTGTGACTGTGCTAGGGAGGACACAAACTTATCAGATCTCTGTGTTAGCAGAGTAATGGGGGAGTGTTTGGAAGTATAATATTCAAATGAAATAAGCTGCTTGGACATTCTGTAGGAGAGCAGAGCCAGCAAATATCCCTGAGAAGGGAGTGTTGGGAGGTCAGTGTGGCCAGGATCTGGTGAGAACCAGAACACCGTGGCTGGGCTTTGTGATTTTTGTTAGGACCCTGGTTGAAAGCAAGCTGATGGAGGGGTTACAGGAATAAAATAATCTAATTTCTGACATTTGCTGTGTTGATTGGACCTTTTTTAATTTAAAAATATTTGTATTTATTATATCTGCCTCTCTCTTCTCATTTCTTCTATTTGTTCTTTCTGCCTCCCAGTCCCCCCTAACCTTTTCCTGCCTAGCTATTGATCATTGGGCTTTTTGTTAGACCAGTCAGGTGTTTCAGGCAGGCACCGTGACACAGCTTCACAGAGTTTAACAAATACAACATAAAAGAATGTAGCACATCTTTGCATCATTAAACAAATGTTCCACAGCCATTTCCCTTAAAAATGTGATTAAGACCCCCTTCTGACCTGTGATCCTAGCACCCCAGAGGCTGAGCAAGAATCACTTGCTTTGTTTGTCTGCCTTTAAGTTCCTTCCTTCCTTCCTTCCTTCCTTCCTTCCTTCCTCCCTCCCTCCCTCCCTCCCTCCCTCCCTCCCTCCCTCTGTATGTTTTCTAAGACAAAGTCTTCACCATGAAATCCTAGCTGGCCTGGAACTCAGAGCTGCCCCGCCTGCCTCTGCCTCCAAGTGCTGGGATCAGAGGTGTGCACTACCACGCCAAGCATGTTTCTCATTCATTTCTGGCCTTGTACATGTTAAGCAAATGTTGTACTATTGAGGCACAGCCTTGCCATTTTTTTTGAGACAGAGTCTTATTATATACCCTGGCTGGCTTGGAGCCTGCTGTGCAGATCAGGCCTGACTTCAGCCTCCAGAGTGCTTGGGTTGAAAGTGTGTGCTACCATGCACAGCTCCCACATTTTATTTTTAATTAAGTCAAGTTTAAGAAACATTTGGCATCTCAGGTTATGGTGGCACATGTCTGTAGTCCCAGCACTTGGGAGGCAGAGGCAGGAGGATCAGGAGTTCATGGTCATTCCTTGACTGTATAGTCATTTTGAAGCTAGCCTAGGCTAGGTGAAAACCTGTGTCAAACAAACAAAAAGCAACCACAATGGCTCTGAAGAGAGCATTTGCTGCTCTAGAGAATTCAGGGATTCTGTTCCCACCACCACACTGCACATGGCAGTTCACAACTCCAATTCCAAGGATCTGATGCCATCTTCTGGCTTCCATTGGCACCAAACATGCATATGGTGCCCATACTTATGTACATATGGGCAGAAAACCCCACTCATACACATAAAACAAGTAAGTCTTTAACAACAAATCTCCCTGTTTTAATGGTGGGCATATGTTATAGCTACCCTGGAAAGCTGTTTGGTCATGTGGTCTAGGACTCTGCTGAGGTGCAAACTCGGAGCTGAGTCATATCTTCACAGAAACATAAGTATGTTCCCATCATTATTCATGAGGCAGCCCCATGTCATCAGAACAGATGCAGAATGTGTTGTGTCCATATAATACAGTAAGGTTGTACAAAGAGAAGTCCTGGTGCACGTGGGCACACAGATAGACCCAACAGGATGCTAAGTGCGACAGGCCAGGTCCCAGGAGGCAATAAATACCTTTAGACTCCATTTGCATTAACTGTCTAGAATTAGCAAGTTAGTAGTGGATACTGAATGGAGGCCAGTGCGAGTGTGGGGGTCAGTACAGCGAGTCATTGCTATTGGATATGGGGCATCTCCACTCTCCCCACCGCCCTCTTTTGAGGCAGGTTCTCATGTAGTCCAGTCCAGGCTGGCCTCAAACTGGCTCCATAGTAAGACTGACTTTGAACTTCTGGGATTACAGGCAGAAGCCACCATGTTTGTGTGTCTCTGGGGATCGACCCCAGGGCTTCTTGTATGGTAGGCAAGCAAATATAACTGGCCTGCCAGTGATGGTGCAGGCCTTTAATCCCAGCACTTGGGAGGCAGAGGCAGGTGGATCTCAGAGAGTTGAGTCAGCCAGGGTTACACAGGGTAACCCTGTCTCAGAAAAAGAAGAAAAGAAAATCTCACTGTAAAACCCAGGCTAACCTCAAACATTGAATCTTCCAAGGGCTGAGATTACAATAATAATAGATTTATTTTGGTGGGGGGCAGGGGGATGTTCTGGAATTAAGATACTGGTAATGGTTGCATGACTCTATCAGTACACCAAAAATAATGGAATCATACATTGTTAAACGATGACTGTCACTGCTTAATGATACTGTTAAACACAAAAGAGCCAGTCAGGCATGCACACAAAGCTGACAGGTGAAGACAGTCCCAGAAGACCCCTGGATGCAGGTTATTACTGGGAGAAAAGTAGCCACTGTTTCTACTGTCAGTTTGCTGTGAAGTCATTTTGAACTAGAGGGAAAGCTTTGTTTTCAGCTGTGGCAGCCTGGGGGCGGGGCATTCTGTTCAGCACCATTTTATTCAATGACTCTTTGTGGCTCCCTGATGCTAGTGTGACCTGCCTTTTCCCAGCAGTCTTAGTTTCTGCCTCTCAAAAGAGGTAGTTATGCACTCTGGATTTGCTTTTTTTCTTTTTTTAAATAAAGGTGATCTGGAGTTTAAGTTTTTTTATTTGACACAGGACCAAGCTCTATCATCTGAGCTATATCCCAAGTCAAAGTTTACTGTCTTATTTATTTATTTTGAGAGGATCTCAACTATGTAATTCTTGCAAGTCTGACCTTGAACTCAGAGATCCACCTGCCTCTGCTTACTGAATGCTGGAAGTAAAGCCTTGTACTACCACACCTGGCAAGTTTACTGGTTTTAAAAGAGAACAACTTGCAGGTGACTTTTGTTGTTGGGGGTGCCGGGTTGTTAAGCCTAGGGTCCTTGTGCAGTGGGCAAGTGTTCTCCACTGAGCTACATGCCCAGCTCACTATTACTTTACAGTGCTCTCATTAGAAAAACGGGTGACTTACAGTATCTTTTAGATGAACCAGTTTAGCATTCATAGTGGTTTTATTCTACAGAACATTTATCTTAATTTGGGGTGGAGGTGGAGGAGGATTTAAAGTCAGGGTTTCTTTGCTCATCGTTGGCTGTCCTGGAACAAGCTCTGTAGACCAGGCTGACCTTAAGGCAAGCACCACCACCACCTACCTGGCTTTTACCTTTTTTTTTTTTTTTTTGGTTTTGGTTTTGGTTTTTTGAGGCAGGGTTTCTCTGTGTTAACTAACAATCCTGGCTGTCCATAATGGTCTAGAACTCACAGAGACCCTCCTGCCTCTTCCTCCCAAGCGCTGGGATTAAAGGCGTGCACTGCTACAGTCTACCTTTTCTTAAATAATTCATTGCCTAGCATGCAAAGCTTCGGTTCCATCTTGAATACTGGGTGGGTTATAATGACCCCTGAACTATGCTTTACATGCTTTCAATGTTCTGTTTTTCAGCGATGTGTTGGCATTGCCCATTTTCAAGCAAGAAGATTCCAGCCTTTCCTTGGATGGCGAGGCCAAGCACCCCCCCTTCCAGTATGTGATGTGTGCTGCAACTTCGCCAGCTGTGAAACTGCATGATGAGACGCTCACTTACTTGAACCAGGGTTAGTATGATTTGTCATATAGAATGCAGAAATCTACAAACATCTTAAAGAAATGTTTTGGTATTATAACTTACAGTGCTGATTAATAATTAAAAATTAGGTTCTTAAATTGTGCAAACTTAGCAGAAATGTGGGACATTTTCTGTGCACCAACAGTGTTATACAAGGCCAGCTCTTTCATATACATGTGATTCTTTGTCACTAAATGGAGTCTTTTTGTTTGTTTGTTTTGTTTTGAGTTTGTTTTCTGTGTGGCCCCGGCTGTCTTAGAACATGCTCTGTAGAACAGACTGGCCTCAAATTCAGAGGCACACCTTCTTTTGCCTTCCCAGTGCTGGCATTAAAGGCATGCCACTAAATGGCCATTGAACAATAGGTTTTAGGCTGTATATTTATGGTTAATATTACAAAATGTAGTAGGGAATTGGGCCTGGTGGCACATGCTTTTAAGTCTAATATCTGAGGGACAGAGGCAGGCAGATCTTGAGTTTGAGGCCACTCTGGTCTATACAGTAAGACCCTGTACAAAGGGGGAAAGAATGAAGAATGGAAGAATGACTTGTAACTTCCTTTGATGGGGAGTTTGGAATCATGAGGCTCTTTATCTTAAGACAGGAGTCCTACCTGTAGCATATGTGGGCCCCTCACTTTGCTTTTAATATATAGTACTTATTTGGAGTTATTTGAGGTTTAACTTTCAAATGATTTTATTTAGTAATTTGTTTGGGACTTGAAGTTGTCTAAAGAAATAGCGTGGGGGCAAGGTTATTCGTTTAATCTTATTTTATTCATTCTGTTGGTTGACTGAGGAAACATGGTTAATTCTTGACTGTTTCAGTAAGAGGTGCTTTGTTTGTTGTTGGGGTGCTTGGGATCCAACCCCGGGCTGTAGGTGTGTAACAAATGCTGTGTTCTACATCAGGCCCACCAAGAGCTTTTAGAGCAGGACCTTGTCAAGGAAAGTTCTGAATGCACTGGGAAGAGTCCTGACCAGTACTCGGCTTGCATACAAGGCAGTGGCTTTGGAGTTGTAGGGACACTGAGAGTGAGGTCCCAGTTCCTAGGAGGTTTGGGACAAGATGCAGGGACTTTGGTCCTCTCTCTCTCTCTCTCTCTCTCTCTCTCTCTCTCTCTCTCTCTCTCTCTCTCTCTCTCTCTCTCTCCTGCCCTCTACATCTCTCTACTTCCCTCCTCTTTTGTCTTCTGAGACAGGGTCTCTAAGTGGCCTGGAACTCACAGAAGTCTACCTGCCAAGTGCTGAGGTTAAAGGTGTGTGTCAGTGTGTGTGTGTGTGTGTGTGTGTGTGTGTGTGTGTGTGTGTGTGTGTGTGTAACTCACAGAAGTCTACCTGCCAAGTGCTGAGGTTAAAGGTGTGTGTCACTGTGTGTGTGTGTGTGTGTGTGTGTGTGTGTGTGTGTGTGTGTGTAACTCACAGAAGTCTACCTGCCAAGTGCTGAGGTTAAAGGTGTGTGTCACTGTGTGTGTGTGTGTGTGTGTGTGTGTGTGTGTGTGTGTGTGTGTAAAACTCACAGAAGTCTACCTGCCAAGTGCTGAGGTTAAAGGTGTGTGTCACTGTGTGTGTGTGTGTGTGTGTGTGTGTGTGTGTGTATGTATGTATGGTGTGTGTGTGTGTGTATGTATATGTATGTATGTATGTATGTGTGTGTGTATGTATGTATACCAGGTACTTGTATGCCTGGTAATTTGAGTTGAGGCTGCTGTTGACTTGGGGACCACAGGTGTCCTTTTCTTTTGAGACAGGGTCTCACTGTATGTCCCTGACTATCCTTGCAACTCACTATGTAGACATGGCTGGCATTGAACTCACAGAGATCTGCATGCCTCTGCCTCAGTTGCTAGGATTAAAACTGTGCTACCATGCCCTTCACAGTTCACTTTTTTTTTTAACTTTAAATAATTTGAGAAAATTTAAATTTCTGTTTATCTGATTTCCTATTTCTGCATTGCTTCAATCAGAAGATACTAACCACTGAGCTCCAACCCCAGCCCTCCAGCACCACCTGTTAAAGAGTAGCATTCAGGGGAGAGATGACAGGTATTCAGGAACTAATGCTGTGATTTGCTATTTGCTGGGGCCCCCCGTAAGCTCGCTGCTCACCTGCCTTTTGGAGCTATTCATAAGGACTATGCCAAAAGAAAGCGGAAACTGGAGGGAACTTAGGTAGCAGAAATTGGAACGAGAATTCTTAGCTTGGTGGGGGTGGGTGGGAAGTGTTAAAATTATAGGAGTACAGAGTTTAAAAACTGCAACTTTGGCCATGTGGTGGTGGCCTATGCCTTTAATCCCAGCACTCAGGAGGCAGAGGCAGGCAGGTAGATCTCTGTGAGTTCAAGGCCAGCCTGATCTACAGAGTGAGTTCCAGGACAGATTCCAAAGCTACAGAGAAACCCAAGGGGCTTAATATGCAGCAAGGCAGAGTGGATCTTTCAAATCCCTCTGCTGTGGCCTGGGTTAGTGCCTGGTAGCCCTGGAGTGTCATCTCATTCTGCAAGCAAAAAGAGCCTTTCTCTTAGTCCCTCTCAAATACTCTTCATTTGGAGCTGAATTCTATTTGGAGACTGTTCTGCTATGATTGTTAATTAACCATTATTAACTACTTTGCAAATGGGTCTTAGGCTCTAGTAGATAATAGCACATTTACTGACTTAAAATTCTGTTAAAATACTGTACACTCTAGAAAAAATGTTTTTAGTTACTTTCATTTTATTCCATAGTAGATTTCCTTTTGTTTAATTTTGGATACTACAAATCAGGACTATAGAAATAAGAAGCTAGACCATATGTAAATGTAGCCCTGCAGTTAAGAATACTGCTTTTTTATTATTTTTATCTTATTTGGTTGGGTTTTTTTTTTTTTTTTTAGGGGGGTGGGGCATAGGGTCTCCCTTGTGGTCCTGACTTAGCTGAAACTCACTATATAGATCAGGCTGGCCTAAAATTCACAGAAATATGCCTACCTCTGTCTCCCATGTGCTGGGCTTTCCAGCCATAAAAACACTTGATACTCTAGCAGAGGAGGACCTGAGTTCATTTCCCAGTACCCACATGTCCTGCTACAACCATTCATAACTCCAGTTCTAAGGAATCTATCACATTCTTTCTGCCAGCCAAATGAGTAGACAGAACACTCATACACATTTTTTAAAAACAGTAAATTATTTTTTTAATATGCTTAAACTTAGCCAGTGGGCTTTGTCACATCTTTGGAGTCCATCTGAGTCCATCTGGAGGTCCTCATAGAGTCTGAGTACTCAAAACAAGAGGTATGTAGGGTATGAGCTCATCATAGCAGTTGTATTTTCTTCGTTTGTTTGTTAAGTCAGGCTTTCTCTATGCTGCCCTGGCTGTCCTGGAACTCACTCTGTGGACTTAGATGGCCTCTAACTCAGGTCAGCCCACCTTTGCCTCCCACATGCTCAGATTAAAAGCATGTGCCACCACACCCAGCTATCAGTTGTCAACTCATGGCAGTTCTTTTGTGTTACTAAACCTCACAGGAAGAAAAATACCAAACTGTGGAAGGTAAATTCAGAAGGTAGGGGCTGGAGAAATGGCTCAGTAGTTATGAGTACTTAATGCTCTTATAGAGTACCTGGGTTCACTTCCCAGAATCCACATGGTGGCTTACAACCATCTGTAACTCCAGTTCCAGGGAACCTGATGGCTTCTTCTGACCATGGTGCACATATATACATGTAGGCAAACATATAAAAACTAAATATTAAAAGAAATTCAAACCGTAAAGTTCAGGCAGGACCGGCATCTCACCGGATGTTGCAGTTTATTGTATCCACTCCATACTTTATTAGGAGTGGAATTTCGAGTTTCATTTGGAACTGAAATGTTGAAAGTGAAATGTATGGAGTTGAAAGGCTATGGAGGAGAAGACAAATGGAAAGCGAAGCCTCTAAAGTTCTGGGCCACCCTTCCAGTGGGTGTCTCTGAAGTGGGTTATGCTGCATTGTGGTTATACTGGGCAAGTGCTTTGTCTCTGCACTACATTCCTGCCCTTGGGATTTGAACAGGCTGGCCTGGAACTCTTGCCTCTATCTCAAATCCTGGGATTACAGGCACATAGCGCCATGTCCAGTTCCCAGAACCCTTTAAAGGCCACTTCTGGTTTGGAAGAATAAGTAACTTTTATCCACCAGCAGCAAGTCTTGATCTGTCTGGAAGACACAGAACTGTCATCCATGTGTGTGGTTCAGACCCTTCCTTAGATAGATCAAGAAACATTGATCAAAGAAAGCTGGGACGCCAGGATGCCTTCCTTCTCTCTCTTTTTCTTTCAGGCTTGAGGATTTTGTGTTTTTGAGTGTCATGAAATAATCCCGGTAGGACAAACTTCCCTTTTTCTATGAGAGCCAGCCTCTCATTAGCAGCTTTCCTGAGTGACTCCATGAGTCTGAGCCCTCTGTTTTCATCTTTACTCTTTCAGTGGTCCATGCTTAAATGGCCACACTAACTAAATCCTGAAAAGCCCTCTGTTATCATCACAGCCCACTCTGTGACTTCATCTTATCTCCTCTAGGTCTGCTCCTTGTGTTCACTGTGTCACACGGTGGCTGCTGCTCAGTCTCCATCAGAGCTCTCACAGCTCACATCTGAAAGCTGAAAACTCACTCAGGCTCTCCCTTATGGTGTCTCCCATGAGTGACCTCTGCTCTTACCCTCTTAAGCTGTTAGCCAGTGGGAATATACCTTTAGCCTTAAACTCAAACTGAGGGGCAGACACCACTCTGATAGATGATCATCGTTCTATATTTCTCTCTTAGAGGTTAACTGGCTTTCCTTGGTCTTCAATTGGCTTTTCCTGTTTTGTTTTTTTGATTGTTTTTTGTTTTTGTTTTTAACTTACATGTCCTTTTGATTTGTATATGTGTACCTTGGGGAATAGCAGGTATTGGTGATTTTGTGAGCACTTCTTGGGTAGGCAGCCCTTTGAGGGGAATACAAGTTAAAATAGTCCCTCTCTTGTATTTTTTTCTGCTTTGATTTGTTAGAATATTGAGTTCACAGATCTGGAATTTAGCTTATTGACAGGTGTATACAGGTTGCTTTCTAGAAGGACTATTTTGTCTACCATCGTATGCAGTCATTCCTTGCCCACTTGAGTTTTTCAGGGTGGCCGGAAGCTCTCAGTCTTGCTTCACCCAACAGTGCTGACTTTTTATTCAACATTTTTGAATAATCAGATAACTAACACAAAACTTTTACTTTGCTGGGCAGTGGTGATGCACGCTTTTAATTCCAGCACTTGGGAGACAGAGCAAGTTCAGGACAGGCTCCAAGGCTACACAAAGAAACCCTGGCCTTTTTTGTTTGTTTGTTTGTTTGTTTGTTTTTTGTTTGTTTTTGTTTTGTTTTTCTTAAAAAACGCGTTTACCTTCATTTCCTAAGTTCTTGTGAGGCTCAGTATAATTTTAAATGTATAATGGTATATTTTTCAAAACTGCACCTATGCTTCTTTGAAAATCGTTAGTTTTCAAAATCAAGATCCGTTGTTAAATGTTACCTGTATTTTAGTTCAACTAACAACTGTATTTTAACTAACAACCTGTATTTTAGTTCAACTAACAACTTCACTTGTTGTAAATGCTTTTATTAATCTTTCATTATGATGGACAAATTTAAGGAATACTTTAGAAATTAAGGAATATTTCAGTAATGCACTACACATGCTGTTTTTTTTTCTCACCAGTTTTCAAGTGATTTGCCTATATTTTGATAACCTTTTGTAAATAATTCTGTGGTCTAAAACAGTGATTCTCAACCTTCCTAATCCTGTGACCCATTAGTACAATTCCTCATGTTGTAGTGACCCCCAACCATAAAATTATTCTATTGCTACTTAATAGTTAATTTTGCCAGTATTATGAATTATAATATAAATATCTGGCATGCAGGGTATCTGATATTCAACCCCTGTGGTGGTCATGACCCACAGGTTGAGAACCACTAGCTAGAGCCTGCTTTGCATGTTGTCCCATAGACTCACAGGATTGATAGGGTGTTGGGTAGTAACCTCCAACTCAGCCTGAACTAGAAATAGTCTTCACTTTATACCATGTTACACCATCAGAAGTAGTATTTTTTGCTTTGGGTGCATGTAACTCTGTGTGTGTTGTGTGTGTTGTGTGTGTGTTTGTAGGGTGGCTAGTGTGGGTATGAGTGCGGTTGCCTTGGAGCTAGGAAAGAGTGTAAGCACCTGATGTGGGCATAGGGAGTCCAACTCAGGCCCTTTGGAGAAACAGTAAATACTGACTCTTAAACACTGAGGCAGCTGTCTCTCAGCTCCCTGTGGCTAATTTTTTTGCAGCAGTTTATCCTAATTTTCTAAATTCTCTAGACCAGTATGTGGAAATTATGTGTGTACAAATGAAGCAATGGGCAAGTGTGACTTTGATTTAGTAACACAGAGGCTCCAAGATTAAAAACTGGTCTTGGTCCGTACAGAAACATTTGTCTATGTTCATAGTACCATTTATCATCACCCCCAAATTGGAAAGCAACACAAAATATACATCATTTGATGAGTGGATGAACAAAATTTGGTCTGCTCTTGCAGTAGATATTGTCTCGCAATAGAAAGGGAAAATGTAACATAAAAAGGAAAAACATTACATTAAGTGAAAGAAGGCAATTTCCAAAACCCCACATATTATGTTTTTGTTTATATGAAATGTCTGTAATGGGCAAGTCCCTCGAGATAGAAGGTGGATTAGTAATTGTCTGGGGGTTTGGGGAGTGTCAGCGGAGCATAGGAAGTGATTGTTTCTGGATTTGGGTTTCTGTTTAATGAAGTGCTCTAAAATTGGTAGTAGTAATAATTGTGCAGCTCTGGCATATTTAAAACCCATGAATTATGGCTTAAAAAATATATTTCATTGTGGGTGGTGGCACACGCCTTTAATCCCAGCACCCAGGAGGCAGAGGCAGGTGGATCTCTGAGTTTGAGGCCAGCCTAGTCAACAGAGTAAGTTCCAGGACAGCCAGGGCTACACAGAGAAATCCTGTCTCAAAAAATAAGATAAACTTCTTGGTACACATTAATATTTCAGAGAAGCAGAAAGTTAATGCTGGATACATATGCAGTAAAATAGTTTAGGAGAATGACCTAAGTAAAGTGAAAGTAAATTGTCAGTCTCCCATGTGTAATTAAAAGAATAGATGGTGTGATTTTTTTTCAGGGACAAAAGTGAAAGATCAACTTGAATATACTTCTGGCACACTGACAAATTAATTTCATGTGGTTGTGTATTTGGAGGAACAGTTAAATTATGTGGAATAGAGTAGTGTTCTTTATGTGGATTGTTTTTGATACATAATTTCTTTAAATCAGGTCAGTCTTACGAAATTCGGATGCTGGATAATCGCAAAATGGGAGATATGCCTGAGATCAGTGGGAAGTTGGTAAAGGTAAGGACAGTCTGTTTTAATTTCTAATAGATTCTGTGGTGATTGAGTAAGAGTGGCTATTGTCATGCAAGAAGTTGTCTTGATTGTTTTTAAATATGTGTTTATTTTGTGTGTGTGCCTCTGCCACGGCACACTTGAGGCTGGAGGGAGTTGGTTCTTTGCTTCCACCACAGGTCTTCTGGAAATTGCATCTTAACCTCTGAGCCATTGATGCAAGCTTCTTCATAGAAAAATTTCTCTTTAGAAAACTGACTATTTTAGAAGTTTGGGCTTTTTAAGCTGTATTTTGCTTACTCGTGTGTGACATGGAAATTACAGTTGTTGGGAACCAGGAAACAGTAGGGTCGTTAATTTAGTTATGCAGAGTGAAACCTATCACCACAATGAAACTTTTTTCAGTTTACTGTATTTGTTATTATTATTGGTGGGGGAGAGAGGCCACTCCAGCACAGGTACACACATACCATATCATACCATATGTGGAGGCTAGAGACTAACTCCTTCCAACTTCTTCCTATCTGTGCTCTGGGGAGTGAACCAGCATGCTCAGGCTTGTATTGCAAGCACTTTTACCAGCTGAGCCATTTGAGCAGTCAGACCTTTAATTTGAAAATATGTTAATTTAAAACTTTTAAGATCCTTTGATTTCACTTTTTAAATTTTTTTCAATATAACTTGAAATTTCAATTTATCTAGTGGCATATCTAAATGAGGATGTCAGTCATCCTACATATAGGGACATAGCCCCTGTCTGGTCAGCCTTGAGGATTGATCTTCAGACAAGGAATACACACACTCTCACACATGGCTCATGGAAGGTGAGTCCTTCTAGCTTCTGTCTGCCTGTGTACCAGGGTTTGTTATAGATACCACAGCATTAGAGGCAGTATGTTTTTTGGAACATGTTTATTGGAAAGGTATAAGTTGTACTGTCAGCAGGAGGCTGGGGATCAAACTGGGATCTCACACAGGCTAGACCGATATTTGCCCATATACCCAGTAATTTTTTTTCATTGGTTTTATTGTTTGTTTGAGACAGGGTTTCACTGTGTGGCCCTGGCTGTCCTGGAACTCAGTCTGTAGTCCACGCTGTCCTCAAACTCAGAGATCTGCCTGCCTCTGCCTCCCGAGTGCTAAGAGTAAAGGTGTGCGACACCTCCACAGCACAAGTAATCATTTTTTTAATGAGGAGATAAGACTGCATTTTTTTGTCACTGTAAAAGTTAAACTTGATAACTAGTATGCTGCTTTTATCAAAAATGTGCAAGTTTAACACAGTTGAAAATTTGTTCATATTATGGATTCTATAATATAATGGACAGTGTATTTGATATGTCTTGTGTTGAGCCCTTTAAAACTGGTTTCAAAAGTCAAGCTCTAGTGTATTTGTGTCTGTTGGCACATGGTCTCATGTAGTCCAGGCTGGTCTCAAATTCATTATGTAGACTGAGGATGGCCTTGAGTTTCTGTTTTTTTCTGCCTTCTCTGTGTAAGTGTTGGGATGGTGCAGGAGTACCACTGTGCTGGGGATTGAACCCACAGCTTCATGCATGCTAAGGGAACACTACCAACTGAACTATATCTACAATCCCCAAAATTGTTAGAGCATCTTAAAAACTTTTAAATTTATTTTTATTTTTATGTACATTGGTTTTTCTTGTGCTTCCATGTTCATGTGAGGGTGGTGGATCCCCTGGAACTGGAGCCACAGACACTTGTGAGCTGCTACGTAGGTTTGGGAATTGAAACTGGGCTTCTGGAAGAGTAGCCAATGCTCTTAATTGTTGAGTCATGTCTTCAGCTCTTAAAAACTCTTTTGTTTGGTTTTTGTTTTTCCTCTTGGTAGTGACGATTGAATCTAGGGCTCCATGCATCCTAAGCAAGTAGTCTATCCGTGAGCTAATTTGCAGTGTCATTGGACTTTGAATCTTGTAACAGCTTAAATAAGCTGCCTTGATCTCCCTGTGTAGACAATGCAGGTCTTGAACTTGCAGTCCTCCTGCCTCAGAGTTTCTAACAGAGCTGCTGTCTTGTGCTGCCAGGCTTGGCTTTTTAACTTTTGTATTGTGTACACTTTGAACACACCCGGAAATAGAGAGGAGGTACTGTGAACTCACATACACCTGTGATGTGAAAAGTGCAGTGTCTATCTTGAGTTCTGTAGATTCTCTTGTCAGCATAAACAGTGACCAATAACTTTCCAGTCTTGGAGTCTTATCTCGTCTATCCCCCTTTGCCCTCTGTTTTTAAAAGATTTTATGAAGTGCGTGTATGTGTACATGCGTACATACAGCAGCTCTCAGAGGCCAGAGAACCCTTGGTAGCTGGAATTACAGGTGGTTATGACCCTGGACTGACTGTAAGAACTGCTGAGCTGTTAGTCCTGTGTGTGCTGGGTTATACTATTTACTAATTCATGTAGCCAACACTACGGATGTTCTGTGGAAAGTAAAACACAGTTTGACATCCACACCAAATGCCAAATTGAATTTCTATCAAAGTACTAGAAAAGTAGGTTCTGAAATACTTGCCATTTATCAATGAAAATTGGCTTTTTACAACAGTTCCCTGGTTGAGAAATGGCTGATTAGTGAGGTGTTTAAAATGATTTTGTGGAGCTAGTTAAAATTTAGCCTGTCAGATTAATTTGGTATTGAAGGTTAATCATTTAATTTGTTGAACTGCCTTGGATTTACTTCCAAATTAAAATATACAGAAACAGTGTATCAGACTAACTTCAAGTGAAGAAATAGGCAACGCTGGCAGTCCATGAAATAAGGACCTGTTACCAAAACCAGCCAGATGGATCTGTCCTGTTGACATCACGATAGTCCACATAAACACTGAGTACACTGATGGAAAAAAGTTCAGTTGGTAGGCAACTTGTCTGATTTTTTTTTTTTTTTTTCCCTCCCTCTATTGACTGTGTTTGAGTACACCCAATTATATCCTGAGAGGTAGGATTTAGAACATGGGTGAGGGGTTTGGGGATTTAGCTCGGTGGGTAGAGCACTTGCCTAACAAGTGCAAGGCCCTGGGTTTGGTCCTCAGCTCAGTGACAAAACAACAAAGAACATGGATGAGTATAGGGTGAATTTATTGGGGGGAAAAAAAATCAAATCACATCTTTTAAGTTTATTTATTGGCCCTGTAATCTTTGACTGTACAACTTAAATTTGGAGGCACCTAGGACCCAAAATGATGTTGTCAGAGGTCTTGTAGAAGTTGTCTCTGTTGAACTTTGATGTGCTGTCTCTGCTTGCTTTTTATTTATAAACAATGGAGTCTCACTTGGAGCCTAGTCTGGCTAAGACTCCTTATATAGTCCAGGATGGCTTTGAACTCAGCGATACAGCCTACACTGTCCTAGATTTCCTGATCCTGCTGTCTCGGCTTCTGAAGGGTTGGGATTTCAGGCCTGTGCCTTGTGTACCAGGTTCTGCCCCTGTGGCCTTGGCTTGGTCTTGTCCCCTTTTTCTCATGCTAGTTCTATGGGTGAGGTCTCCTTTTACTCAGAGCATTTGGTTCCCCCCCTCCCCCCTTGTATATTTTACCTCAGGCTGCTCCCAAAGTGACCACTCTCACTTTTTGTGGATCTGTGTGGCCAAGCACTCATCATGTAGCTCAAGCCTCAGACTTCACTGTGGTATTGCAGTGCTGGGCTTGAGTGTGAGCTGTCAGACCTGGCTCTGCTTATTTTATGTTTAACATTTGACACAGGGACTCATTAAGTTGCAAAGGAAGGCCTTCTGCTCACTCAGTAGCCTAGGTTAGCCTCATATTTTCTGATTCTCCAGCCTCTCAATTAGTTAGGATTATAGGCTAGTATCACTAGGCCCAGCTAGAATGATCATTTTTGTAGTTTTTGATGATTTATTTTAGTTGTATGTATATGCCACTGTGTGTGTGTGTGAATGTGTATACATTAGAGGAAAATTTTATGGAGTTAGTTCTCTCTTCCCACTTTTATGTGGGTTCCTAGGATTGAGTTTAGGTTGTCTACAAGCACTTTATTCTGTAAGCCACCTCACCAGTCTGTCTTTTTAGAGAAACTTATCAGTTGTTACTGTTTTTTCAGTCAGTCGCCTATGTAGCCCAGCTGACCTCAATCCTGAAATTTGCTGTCTCATCCTCTAGATTGCAGACATGAGTCATTACAGCCAGTATTAAGAGTAATAAGTTAGCCGGGCATTGCTGGCACATGCCTTTAATCCTAGCACTTGGGAAGCTAAGGCAGGCAGATCTCTGTGAGTTTGAGTCCAGCCTGGTCTACAAAGTGAGTTCTAGGACAGCCAAGGCTGTTACACAGAGAAACCCTGTCTTGGGTTTATAACACATAGAGACAGTGGACCTGAACAAGGAGGAGCTAACGGACCCCAGACTGATAGCTGGGAATCCAGCATGGAACTGACTCAGACCCCCTGAACATGGGTCTCAGCTAGAAGGCCTGAGCAGTCTAAGGGACCTCAGACAGTGGAACCAGGATGTATTCCTGGTGCACAAAAGGACCTTGCGGGCACATCCCTCATGGAGGGATACTGCCTTAACCTAGAGACAAGAGAGAAGCCCTAGTCCCTACTCCAAATGACTTGATAGATTTAGATGACCCCTCCTGGAGGGCATCACACTACATGTGGAGTTGAGGTGGGGTGGGAGGGGAGAGTGGGAAAGAGGGAGGGTGGAAGGGAAGGAGGGAGAGGGAACTGGGATCAATATATATATAAATAATTATATATATATTATATATATATATATATAATATATGTGTGTTTTAACTGAGCAGTGGTGGCACACATCTTTAATCCCCAATGCTCTATTGGATCTCCATGAATTTGAGGCCAGACTGGTGTACAAAGTGAGCTCCAGACAGGGCTGTTACACGGAGAACCCCTGTCTTGAGAAAATAAAATTGGGCATGGTTTTTATTCGTAATATCTGGTAACTAAGTGTATCATAAAGCAGGTATCCAAGAATGGGAAGGTTACGGGTAATATTTCTCTTATTTTGGAACTAAGATGTCACATATAGCCTATGTTGGCTTTGAAACTAGCTGTTTATGTGATCCAGGCAGGATAGCGTCAAAGTTAAAGCAGTCCTGCCTCAGCCTCTCAAGTGCTGCCATTATAGGTGTGAGCCATGATACCCAACTTCACAGAAAGAGCATTTAAAGCAGAACCTGGTTTGTATGCTCATCTATTATTGGTTAATATGTGAAAACAAAGATGCTTCTGCCTTTAGCTAGAGCGGTTGAAATGCCCACTTTCCTCCCTTGTTTCACAGAGCATCATAAGGGTGGTGTTCCACGATAGACGGCTACAGTATACAGAGCATCAGCAGCTTGAAGGCTGGAAGTGGAATCGCCCAGGAGACAGACTTCTCGATTTAGGTACAGGTGGCTGTCAAAGACCATGGAGATGAAGGTGCTGTGTAGCTATGTCCATTAACATGTTTGCACCACGTAAAAGTCATCTCTCAGATGCAGCGTTGGTGTTAGTGGGTCTGTCTTGAGAATTGTTTTATGCTTGAAGAGTGAAGTAGTTCTGTGGTGCTAAAGTAACCTCCACCAGAAATTGTATGATTTTGAAGCTGTTTTAAACCTCAGTTGGCAATGTCCATCATAATCTTAATGAAATGAAATACAAGCCGTGGTAGGAGAAACTGTGATTCTTGTTAGGTGGATTTGATATTGAAGACAAGGTTGACTACGGAGAACGTTGAAGGGAAGTTCAACATGGATTAATTATTTCCATAGAACATAATATAGTAAGTTTTAAGTTTGTTTTGTTTTTGTTTGTTTTTATCTTTTGTTTTGTTTTGAGATGGGGTTTCACTATGCTGCCCAGGTTGCGCTCGAACCTCTAGGCTCAAGCCCCCCCAATGCCTCAGTCTCCCAAATAGCTGGGACTCTACTGGAGTGTGCCACCACACCAGGCTCAACCTGCAAGTCTTTTACTTACCTAAAATGGATGCTTTTCTTCTTTTTCTTTTTTCTTTTTTTTTTTTTTTTTTTTTTTTTTTTGTAACTTGTGTTTGAACATACAGATATTCCAATGTCTGTGGGAATAATTGACACAAGGACAAACCCAAGCCAGTTAAATGCAGTTGAATTTCTGTGGGACCCTGCAAAGCGCACGTCTGCCTTCATTCAGGTTTGCCTTTTCGTGTTGTTTACAAGTGTACTACCCAAGCCGTTTAGAAGATTGGATCCCTGTGTCATGAAAGTATTTATTTGTAAATTATAGTGTAATGTCTTTTTTTTTAAATACACATAGTTAAGGGGCTGGACAGATGGCTCATCAGTCATGAGCACTGACTGCTCTCCCAAGGGTCTGGGTTCCATCCTCTGTACTCACATGGCAGCTAACAGCTGTCTGTAACTCCAGGATCTGACACTCTCACACATGCATACATGCAGGAAAATCACCAGTGCACACAATATAAACTTTAAAAAATTTAAAAATTCACACAGTTTAAAATGGATTTAATTTGCTAGATTTAGTCATATAGACATAAAAGATACTGGGTGATAGTAATAAAGTTTTTTGTTTTTTTGTTTTTTCTTTTTTTTCCCCCTTAAGGCAGAGTCTTTCTACATAGCCCTAGCTGTCCTGGAACTCAGAATGTAGCCCAGGCTAGCCTTCAACTCCCAGAGATCCTCCTGCTGAGTAATGAGTTTAAAGATGCACTACCGGTACCTTTTTTTGTTTGTTTGTTTTGGAGACAGGATTTCACTTTGTACCTCTGGCTGTCCTGGAACTCACTCTGTAGACCAGGCTGCTTGTGAACTCTTCCTCTGCCTCCTAGGTGCTGGGATTAAAGGCGTGCGCCACCATCACCTGTCATAAATTTGTTTTGTTTTGTTTTTCAAGACAGGGTTTACTTGTGTAATAGCCTTAGCTGTCATGGAACTCTGTAGACCAGGCTGGCCTCTAATTCATAGAGGTCCACCTGCCTCTTGTCTCCTGAGTGCTGGGATTAAAGACATGCTTAACCATTGCCCAGCTTAAATTTTTTTTTAAATCAGTGTTCACAATAATAGAATTTTTTTTTCCATGATGCACATTCTCTTGAATAGAAACCACCCTTTAAAAGGATATTTAAAAAGTTTCAGGTTTAAATCTTTTCTAACATTATTTAAAATACATTCATAATCAGACTTTAAGGGCTGGAGAGATGGCTCAGCCGTTAAAGGCTAGGCTCACAACCAAAAACATAATCAAACTTTAAAACCTCCACAAATGAAGAGATGATAGTAAATTCTTCATGTGTTCATCCTGTCACAGAAATCTACCTGCCTCTGCCTCCTGAGTGCTGGGATCAAAGCTTGCACCATCACACAAGGCACTTATTGGCTATTTTAAAACAAACCCCACTCTACCTTGTCCATAAACACTTTTGTGTGTCCAAGAGGTAACTTTGAAAGTAACATGATTACATATGTAAAACCCAAAAGTAATTGTAGTATGTAGTGTATATAAATTTGTAAGTGGTGGAATTTAACTATTATCTATGTAGTCATTATATAGGAGGGAATAGCTATTTAATTGTTGACCAGCTTAAGTAAGCTGTGTTTGTGTCAACTCTAAGGATCATTAGCATTCAGTATTTGGGTTGTCTATGAAATATTACCATTAGTTAATGATGGTGACATGATTCATATTTGTTTAATATTGTCACATGCTATTAGTGTTTGTCCAATAGAATAATCGGTTTTGTAGTAAATAAGAATGATAAGACCAGGCTTTGTTTCCGGTTGTGCAACCATATTGCAGAGGTGAACTTTTCACATTGCATATCATTTGAAGAGGGCATGTCTAAGTAGCAGTCAGACATGACCCTTGGTCTTGCTGCTTGCTAACTTCGTGTTGTATCCTGAGTTGTTTTTTCAAGTGGTATGATGAGTGATTAAAATGATTCTTGCCCTCCAGGACCCTGCCAGGGCTTGGAAAGGTTAATATGGAGAGTTTAGATGGATTTGAACTTGATAAGTAATAAGGCTTTAGGGGCTGAAAATTGCCCAGGCAGAGCATTACAAATCGGTGTATTTGGAGAAGCAGTAGCAGGAAGCTTGGCTGTCGATAGCAGGGGTGGAGACAGTGGGGAAGCAGGGTTACCCTGGGTCTGAGAGAGCATTTGTTGGGGTGGAGGCAGGGAGCAGTGACTGAGGAGCAGCACTAAATCAAGAGAACTACTGGCCGGTGAGTCCAGAGACCCTGCAGCTCTGAAAGGAAGGGCTTCATTCAGAGTGGTTCCGGAAACTCATGAGATAATCTGACTGCTCTGTTCTAAAGGCTCTTGAGTGTATATCCATGAGGGAATAAAATAAAATAGAGCCTCATCAGTTTTTTGTTTGTTTGTTTGTTTTGACATAGTTCGGCTTGGATTGTTTTGTAGGTGCACTGCATCAGCACAGAATTCACTCCACGTAAGCATGGAGGTGAAAAGGGAGTGCCTTTTAGGATCCAGGTTGACACCTTTAAGCAGAATGAAAACGGAGAATACACAGATCATCTTCACTCAGCTAGTTGCCAAATCAAAGTCTTTAAGGTAAGCGATGGAAACCAGGAGGGATGCTTAGTTTTGCTTGTACAGTTGTGTGCAGCCAGATGAATGAGGTCATTTACTTTGTTTTTAAGCCTAAAGGTGCTGATAGGAAACAAAAAACTGACCGAGAAAAGATGGAGAAGAGAACGGCTCATGAAAAAGAAAAGTATCAGCCGTCTTATGACACCACCATCCTCACAGAGGTAATGTGGCGCAGCATTTGGCTTTGCAGAGAAGCAGAGGTTTGCGTGTTAGCAGGACCTTGCAGATGTGTTGCAACAAAGGGATTGGGAAGGCTGGGTGGCGGATTGACATGATATTCTGAGGATTTTGTGGGCACATGTTTTACCTAAGTTTGGGGATGTTCATGAGTTTATTTGCCTGGGTGGGATCTTGAATGAAGATGCTGAAATCCCAATGAGGTCTCAGAACAGACCTTAAAACCTTGAAATTGACAAGAGATTTAAGTGGGGGCCTAGAATGTCCAATTTTTGTCACTGCTGGGGTTTTGCATTTTCTTTAACTTTGAATCCTGTTAGTCATACATTTGTTTAATTGAGCTCAAAGACATGAAACAGGGTATTAGGTCTTTCTTTGTATAATGAAAAGACATTGACCCCAATCTTTGGTGTTTGTCCAGATGAGGCTTGAGCCTATAATTGAAGATGCAGTTGAACATGAGCAGAAAAAGTCCAGCAAGCGGACTTTGCCAGCAGACTACGGTGATTCTCTGGCAAAGCGAGGCAGTGTAAGGGACTTCTGCTTCTCTTTTCATTGTGCAAGAACCCTTGTGCAGTGTTAGATATAGGACCAACTTCCATGGAAAAGTAAAGCCGAAACTGTTTTTTATGTCCATGTCTTTATTTAATTTGCTTTTGTTTAGACTTTCTGCTTTCTGTTTGTTCCTCGCTGAGGAAAATTTCCTAAATCTAACACTTTAAAACAAAGCATAAACGATGTTGACCATATTGGGTGGTTTTGGAGGGAACGACACTCGGATGTTTTCCAATATGTTCCCTTATTCCCTTCCCCTCCCCCCTCCCTTCTTCCCCTTCACACACACAACTCCTTCAAGATACTGAAATTACTTGACTAATTTTAAGTCATTTTTATGTAGTTAAGAAAGTTTGGCTTTTTTCATGTGTATACCTAATAAGAAAATTTTGTAGATAGTTAAATGATGGCAGCAAGCTTGACATTAGCATGTGCAGTACTCTGTGTCACATCCCCTTGCATGCACTATAAGAATGTGTGTCTGTCTGTGCTTTTAAAAAGCCTCTTTGACAGCACTGGTAGAAAAATCTGTGACTGTGCAGTGTTTCCTCTCGGCACCTGCTTGTGATGCAATGCTTCAGACCACACACAGTGGTGACCTTGCTGCACTTAACCCCAGGACCCTCAGGGACAAACAGTTAGTGAGGGTTTTTGAACTTTGTCAGGTTAAATATAGCAAGTCTATAACACAACTCTGTCCAGCAGTCCACAGAGGATTGTTCTGATTTCAGATTTAAATCAGCTTATATACCCTTATTAAATATAAGTAGAAATGTCAAAGAATATCTTAAAATAACTATTTTGAGTACACTGTTTATTATTGCATTGTTTGTATTAATAGGGTCCCCAACATGGATTCTCACTCTTTTACAATGATCTGTGACTGATTGTGGACTTTGAAGGTCAGCGTCACAAGGACTATCTCAGGGACATCATTTCCATTTTAGAGCAATGTTTAAATGCCTGTACATGCATGCTTGCATCCCAGGGCACTGGAAGCACATGCTGCATTTTCTTTTATTTATTCATTTATTTAATTTTTCTTTTTTAGACACTATGTTGCACAGATTAGGTTGGCTTTGAACTCATGGCAGTCCTCCTGCCTCAGCCTCCCAAGTGCTAGGATTTCAGGTGTGAGCCACCACCCCTGATTCTTTGCATTTTATTTAGCTGGGCTGTTTTGGTTTAAATCAGGAACAATCAGAACCACCGAATGCTCCATTCCCCCAAATGTCTGCTCTCCATTTCATGTTTTATCAGCTCCTAATTGCTCTGAAAACCTACAAATGTTCTTAGTAACTTTTTTTTTTTTTTTTTTTTTTTTTTTTGAGGGGATCTTGGGAGCTTAAGTCACTTGCCTTATAAACCATGTAGCTCATTTAAAGAAGTTGGTTCTGGTGTGATTGATAGGTAAATCTGTTTTAGCCAGAACTAACCCAAAAATGAGGAAGTCAGTAGTGAATTCTTAAGTGTAAAACATGCAAAACGTCAGCAGTTCACACCTGGGATTTCACATCTTCTTATGTGTGCCGCCTGCCACCCTGGCTGTGTTTGGTTTGGGTTTGATGCTTCTACAGTTGCTTAGACTGCAGTCTGGAAACCTGTTTTCAAAATGCAGGGGCCAGATCATGACTCCCTTAACCAAGAACATAACTGCATCACTTCGTCTTTAAAGGGGGTGGGGGAGCAACCTTTCCTGCAGTTTTGGGCTTTCAGTTAAAAGGATGTGTATCCAGAAGTTTTGATAAAACCTAAAACATGCTGGAAGACAGGGTCCCATTCTGAATTGTCACTCCTGCTAGTTCCCAGGAGATAATGCCAGATAAATCCTTTGTGTTTCTGTTGATCTTTGGCTCACTCCTGATTGCCACAGTTTGCTGCTGACAGTGGGTCTTCATTCTTTAATCTTGGTGGGAAAGCACTACATTTGCAGAACACTGGAACAGGAACATCAGCACTGTGCTGCAGCTTGCATTTAACAGCTCCCTGGGCTGTGGTACCCGATAGTGGTGTGTGCTTGCCCAGCACACATAGTGATCTTGGGTTTGCTCTCCAGTCCCACAAAGCAAGCAGAGCCCCAGATTAAAAACTCTCCTTGTGATAATAGTAAACGCAGCTACGTTGTGAAAGTGAAATAGATGGGTGTATGGTGAGTAAACGTGCTGTCTGCACTGTGCCACTCCAACATGAAGTTTGGGGATAGCTCTGTTTCCTCATAGAGCTGGCAGGGATTACCAAGGTAAATTTGGGGACATGTTGTGTTGAATATTAAGAGTTATTCAGACTTGTATGTTTGGTTATATTGTGATATTTATTTTATTAGGAGAAGAGTGTAACAGGAAACTCTTGCTTGTAGTGGAGGGACAAACAGCCATGATCCCTTAGTTAGATGTACTGTTACAGGCATGGGCTCTTCACAACGTGTGAACTGAGGAAAAAGTGATACTTAGTAAAACAAAACAGGCTCTACTCTTAAACAACAGGTATTTTCATATGGAATGTAATGTGTAGTAAGGTCACTGCTAGAGTTGATCAGACAGGCAGTTATTGCTGTTAAATAAGGATCAGTATAAACAAATAGGCCAAATAGGTATTTATTCAGGGAGAAATAACTTACAACCTAGACTGATGAACACCAGCAAGTTCCACCAGATGCTCACCTGTCCGAGTCCCGCCAGGACCGGCTCTTCCTCTGACCTTCCACAGGTTGCTTCCGCCCATGGCTCCACCCCCCAATGGGCGTGGCCAGTGCCACAGAAGGACTATCTCACTATAGGCAGTTTTCCTTTGAAAGGCGGTAGGAACAGTGTCTGCAGTGACTTTTCTTTTTTGAGGGATCGGATATGAGGGATGCTGGGGATTTCTTTCCCTACCTATGCTGTTTGGTAGCTGCTAAGACACAGGTGTTCCCTGCCTACAGAGGTCTCAGTTCAAGCTCTTTGCTTCATATTAGTGATCTTAACACGTTGCTAAGAATTTGAACAAGATGATTTTTCCCTTGATTATTTTCAAACTGGCATCTAAAAGTTTCCTTGTGAATTTGAACAGTTGCAAGGGAAGTATTTCATGGCATGATGAATATTTGTATTTAAAGTCTTAAATTAAATCTATTAAAACTTAAATCTATGAGATCGAGGACAATCAGGGCTACACAGAGAAACCCTGTCTCGAAAAACAAATTTAAAACTATTGGACTGGAGAGATGACTCAGAGATTAAGAGCACTGGCTCCTCTTCTAGAGGTTCTGAGTTCAATTCCCAGCAACCACATGCTGCCTCACAACCATTTATAAAGAGATCTGGTGCCCTCTTCTGGTCTGCAGGTACATACTAAATAAATCTTTTAAAACAAAACTATTAGGAATCTGGAGGGAGTGGGCTATAGAACCCAAGTATCCCAGACATTTCAGATTTTTCTGTTTAGTGCTGAATTTTACTTCCATCTTCTCTCTTGGCTTACCTGTGTATTCTGCTCCTTTTAAATCTTACCTTAATGTGATTATACCCTTATGCCTGGAAGTCTTCTCATGATAACCTCAATTTTTCAAAATTTTATTTTTATTTTATGTGCATGAGCATTTTGCCTGCATACATGTCTGTGTACCACATGTGTGTAATGCCTAGGAAGCCAGAAGAGGGAGTTGGATCCTCTGGAACTGGAGTTACAGACAGTTGTAAGTGGCCATGTGGGCCCTGGGAACCAAAGCTAAGTCCTCTGGAAAAACAAATTCTCTTAACCACTGAGCCGTCTCTCCAGCCCAGTATTTCCAGCTCTTTACAACATAGTTTCTGGGTTTTTGAGTTTTATTCTTTAGTCCAGGTTGTCCTTGAACTCATGGCCATCTTCCTTAGTCAGCCTCCTGAATTCTGGAGTCCAGGCATGAGCCACCACTCCTGGATACAATAGATTTTTATAAATGTGGAAGAAAGAGTTTCGTTGTTTTTAATTTTGTTTTGTTTTTAAGTTAGGGTCTCATGTAGCTGATGTTGGCCTTAAACTTTTGATCTCCTTGCCACCACCTCTCAAGCCTGGATTAGACATGTGCTACCATGCCTCGCTTGAAATTGAATTTTTAAAATTTCTTATGACTGTAGATTAAGCTTGGGTGGGAAATTAAAATTGGTATGTCTGCTGCCAAGCCCAACAACCTAAGTTTGATCTCCAACACTCAAATGGTAGAAGGAAAGAACAAACTCTCTAGAGTGTCCTCTGATTACCACATACATGCCATGGTAGATGTGCAATGCACATACATACATACATACATACATACATACATACATACATTTTAAAAAGAAAAACTCATTAGGACCAATTTATTAAAAACAGTTAATACATGTTTTGTTTGTTTTGGATTTTTAAACACAGGTTTCGTTGTGTAGCCCTAGCTGTTATAGAACTTATTTTATAGACCAGTCTGGCCTGGAAATCAGATCAGCCTTCCTCTGCCTCCCAAGTGCTGGGATTAAAGAGCTGCAACATTACCACATGACAGTCAGTTATACAAATTTTGAAGAACAGTTAATAAATAAAATAGAATTTCTTTGTAAATGCATCTTGAATAAAGAAAACAATTACTCTTTAGATCCTTTTTTTTTTTTTTTGGATGGGGGAGACTAAGCTGACCTGGAACATCCTCAGGTCCTTAGATTATAGGTATGTGCCACCATGCCCAGCTCAGTTTTTTAAAAATAGGTATGAGAAAATTTGTTAGATAAAATTTGATAGTATCATTCAAGAATCAACATTCCTTTTGAACCCTCTACAAATATACCAGTGATCTTTGTAGGTGATTTAGTATCTGCCAGGTAATCATCGTCCCTGTAGTAAATAGAGCAAAGACCTGAAGGTCACATTATTTAGAGGAAAACTCTTTCAGTCCTTAGAATAGCATCCTTCAGAAGCAGCTATTTTATTCTCATTTACTTGGCCCTAGAGAGTCTTAAACCCCAGTGCTGAGGTTGGGTGTCATGCCTGTCTTTTCTCAAATGGGAGCTGGCTGATAATAAAGGGAACCCTTGAAACTGACAACCTCCACAGAACAGTTGTAGAAAGAATACCCAGTGTCAGGCAGGCATCTGTGAAGCTCAGAAGGGAAGGTTTCTACCTGACCACTGTGGCCTGCTTGGCATGCCCTGGACCTTGGATTATTATTTAGTTGGCTAGTTTCTGTACCTTTGCCTAAGGTTGAGAGACACTCAGTTCACCATATCCCTTTTAGAAAACAGATACATATCTGGCAGCATACACAAACAGTTGGTTGCTTGCCTGCTAGCCTGTTCAGTAAGTCTTATTTATATCAAGATAACAAGGGGATACTGATGAGGCTGCTCCCTGGGCAAGCATATGAGCAATAAACAGGACCTGGCCACACCCAGATCACTGTGTAATGTCAGATGTTGCTTGTGAATCCCTTCTTGTCTGCTGTTTTTAAACCTTCAGATGTGTCTGTTGGAGCACCTGACAGATGATGCTGGAAATGTGTGTGTGTGTGTGCGCGCTTTTAGAAAGCAAATATACATATATATTTAAAGTGTCTTTATAAATTTGGCTGCTATCACCACTCAGGTTATAAGTAATGTCTTTTGCTGCACAGGGTGAATTTGACACATGTCTGGTAGGCACCAGGTATCTTGTGCTTTTTAAGTTTGCATTGGGTCAGTTAGAAACCAGATGACGCATTGAAGAAGCAAGTTGTTAACTCATCTCTGTTTCTGTCCTTAGTGTTCTCCGTGGCCTGACACCCCCACAGCCTATGTGAATAACAGCCCTTCCCCAGCGCCCACCTTCACCTCCTCACAACAGAGCACCTGCAGTGTCCCAGACAGGTATCTGGTCTGTGTGGCCGTGTGCTTGCACCTACAAGTCCCTATCCATGCAGTCTCCTCATTTATGTGTGTCTGTGTGTCAGGTGTGCCTAGTACAAGGAAACAGTGTGTCCTAGGCATGCGTCTTCCCCTGACAGTCCTTGTACACCTCGTCCTGTGTCTCACTTTGACAACTGAACAGTCTGGAGGGGCGATTTCTGCAGAAACTGAAACAGGAAGATGGAGGCCAGCTTGGGGGCTATGTAACAAGACTGTCTGAAAAGAGGGGAAGGGAGTTTTTAAGATAGAGCCAAGATGTTGTCTTTGAGAGATTTAAGAATGCACTAACAGGGTGCATAGTCAAGGACGAGTGGTTGATGTGAGCCCTGATGTGAATACAAAGTACACTGGACTTTAAGTTTACCATGTGACATAGGCGTTTTAGCCTTCCTTCCTTCCTTCCTTCCTTCCTTCCTTCCTTCCTTCCTTCCTTCCTTCCTTCCTTCTTCTGACTGTTTCTTACCCTCTCAGCTAATGTAGTTTTACTTGAGTATTTAAGACTAAAGGAAAGACCTTGGATTTCCTTATGACTATGGTGACTTTTGAATCAGGCTGTCTGGATTTTCTTGAATGTGTTATCAGGCTTTCACAGCTAAGAGCTGCATAGGCTTGAGGCCTCTGTAAGCCTTCAGCTCCTGCAGCCTTGCTGAGGGCAGTAGTTCAGAAGTTCTTGCTTTTAGGAAGTTTCTTGTTAGACAGAAAAATTATAAAAGCTTGAGATGGCAGGGAAAAGTTCTCTTTATATAGTCTAGTCTTGTTTACAAGGTCTGTTAAGAAAAACTACAAAATCCTTTTTCTCTGTGGAGATGGAAAAACTGATCAGGAGCCTGTTTTCATGTATTGGTTTTGTCAACAAGTAGAAAAATTCATGCCAGGTGTGGTGGCAAACACCTTTAATCCCAGCACTCAGGAGGCAGAGGCAGGAAGATCTCTGAGTTAAGGCCAGCTTGGTCTACAAAATGAATTCTAGGATAGCTAGGACTATACCAACAAACCCTGTCAAAACAAGAACAAACAACAACAACAAAATAAATAGAAAAATTATCACTGACCAGGGGCATCAGAGAGCCAGTGTGTAGCATCCAAGCAGTCTCTTGTGTTTCCTGTCTGTGTGTGTTAGGAAATGGCTGTGATCTTAAGAGATGAGCTTTGAGTTGTATGCCTTCGTTTCCTGAGTGCCCACTCTACTCCCAGCATGGTTCTAGGTGCTAAGATATTTAGATGACCAGACAAATTCCTGTTGGAAGGGGTTCAGGTTCTGGTGGATGGAGAATAATATAAGGTCTGGTGCTGAGAAAGAAATTTATTTGCAGTTTTCTTTATACCTTAAGACTCAAGCATTGTGGCACGTTTGTCTCACTTCATTTCTCATGAATGTATATAGTAATTAAAGAGGAGGGTTTGTATATTTAGTTAAGATCGCTGTTTCTTATAGCCTATTTTACTAGTGTTTTACGGTTATTTTTACATGTTTTCCTAGCTAAAATGAATGCATACCTTCCCCATTTTCCTGGCACCCATACAAAGGCTGCGGGAACATTTTTCACGGGGACTAACTCATGCGTGCTGGTGCTATTGTTATGTCGTCATCACAACCTCTATGCTCTCCCCATGTGCTGCGTTCTTGTTACAAGCTCACACAGCTCTTTCCACAGAGCTGTCCCATTCCAAATTACCTGTGCAGAAACCTTTAACTCCATAGTTTAAAACTGTTCCTTTTCCTTTCTCCAGCAATTCTTCATCCCCAAATCACCAGGGAGACGGAGTTGCTCAAGCATCTGGGGAAGTAAGTATCTTTCCCTGAAAGCATTAAGTACTGTTACCGTCCTACATTTTAAAGATTCTGACCATGTGGTATGGGTTGCTCAGTTTCAGCTGTGTTATGACTTCAGATTTTATTAACGCCCTTTGAGTTTTGCTTTTAAACATTCTTATTGACATGCCAGTGACTTGGGTTTTGTTACTTGTTTTGTTTTTTGTTTTTAAACTTAAATGGTTTTATCTATGGTCACTTTTTTTTTCTTCATTAATAGCAAATTCAGCCTTCAGCTACAACCCAGGAAACACAGCAGTGGCTGCTCAAAAACAGGTTCTCTTCATATACAAGACTGTTCTCTAATTTTTCAGGTATGTATATATGTGTGCATGCAGGAGAGTATTTTATTTGTATGTTTTTGTGTTTTTATTAACTAAGAATTTATCTCCCAGTTTTCTTCAGTTGTGACTCCTTGTTAAATTCCTCCCAAACAAGGAAATTAACATTGCTCTAGTCCACTCATTGCAGATGTATTTAGTTCTATGAAATACTTTCATTCTATTTATTTTTATAACTTTAAAGTTGTGTGTGTAAGTGTGTGCTTATGTCTGTATATGCACGTGAGTGCAGGTGTCCACAGAAGCCAGAAGTATCAGAGCCCCAGAAGCTGGAGTTAGTGGTTGTGAGTACCCCACCATGGGTGTTAGAGCCCGAACTCTGGTCTGCTACAGGAGCAGCAGGTGCTCTTAACTGGTGAGCTGTCTCTCCAGCCCCATAAAACTTTGTTTTATGGTAAATTGTAAAGCCAGTTTGGAGATGATCCAGCACACATTCTCTCGGTGTCTCATAAAACTATAGTATTCCAACCAGGATCTGTCACTGTGCTGTGAGTGTAGGTCCCTGCAGCCACTGCTGCAGAGAAGAGTAGATGTAGGATGTCTCTACCCAGGGGTTCTCTCTGCCTATTGCCCTGTTCTAAGACCATTCTTTGCCCTATCCTCACACATACCTTTTCCACACATTGAGCTGTCCTGCCTATGATTTGATCACTCTGAGAACGTTAAACAAATGAAACCCTATACAAATGGCTCCTTGAAGCTAGCCTTTTCTTCCTTGGCCTATGATCTCAGGTCCCACAAGGCTGCCCTGTGTCCTGTGGTTTTAGCCATTTCACCTAGACTGGTATCTCATTTGTTTGGCTTTGCTCAAGTGTGGCTGTCTATGCGTTTTTCTGCACAGGCATCTAAGGGAACACCCTGTTGGGACTTTAGGTGTCAAGCAGCACTGCCCCAGGTAGTATGGTTGTGTGGAGAGCATGCAAGAGGCAAGGGCAGTCTTCAAAATGCGTGTGGCCCTTCTTCCTTTCCCCAGAGCCCATTTGCTAATGTGTCCTGGCCAAACGTCCTGAGAAGTGCTGGGCCGTTGAGATGCAGCAGCTAACATCCCTTTCCCTGTGTGTGGGGCCACTGAAACAGTTTGATGAGGGCAGACATACGTGTGCCTATACCCAGCTGAAGGAAACAGTGGGTTTCTATTGTATTGTTTGTGCATTGGGCAGTCATTCCTCATGTAGCTCTTAGGACTCTGAAATTAAAATACTACATGGAAGTAATTTGCTAGCTGTGATCCACGTATTTATATGATTAAATAAAGCCTTTCATGTGTTGAAAACTAAAAATCACAGAATTCAAGATGAGGGGAAAGGATTTCATGAACCCTTAGGAAAAGTGGATGAAAAGCACAGCCCATAGAAAACCGTGTGGCAGCTGGAGCCTGCGTGGTATGCAGAACCATGTGTGTTGTGTGGAGCTGCAAGGTTTTTCCCTGTGCAGCGGTCATGGGGTTTGCACTCTGCTTCCTCCTTAACCTGGGCCTCCTTTGGTTCATGCAAAGCTGCATGACACATGCAGAGCTGTGTCATCTGAGCCACAGCACTAGAGAATGGAGAGGACAGTGAGACTGTGCAGTCAGAAAGCTGTGATACTCCCCCTCTCCCTTTCTCCTCCTGGGTTACAGTTGTCACAACCAGGAGCCCTGCCTCAGAGCTGTGTATAATGACCCCAGTAGATGGGAGAATTTTATCTGCTATTTCTTTCCAAGAGCAACTTCACAGTGGCTCACACCGTGGGAGTTAGGTTCTGAACTTCATTCTTTTTACAAGCTAGGAATCTGTCAGGCTCACCATTTTGAGCCTATGTAACATAAAGACAACCCCATTATCTTGTTACCTATGGGAGTAGGTATTTATTATAGGAAGTCATGCCTCCGTTCTGAAAGTATGGGTCTTGACTGATACTAAAAGAGTTAAAAACAAGATTTTATGGCTATATCCAAACACAATAAAAGGTATGGAGTACATGAAGGACTTCCTGTGACCACCCCAAGTTAGCTGTTGCCCAGTGCTTGCTCAGTCTTGTATCCACGTCTCCCTTACACATTGGCCCTTTTGTTGCTTTTAAGGCCAAGTACTTAAGGAAGAGACCGTAAGTAACAGAGCGATTCTCTACTGTGCTTGCTTTCCTGTTAGAACTGGCTGTGGGGATGGAGCAGGAACAGAGTCTTGACTTGACTGCTGTAATGAGGCCTGGTCTGTACTTTGCTTCCCACTCATTGGTGGCTTTGGGCAAGTTCCCCAGATGCTACAGTTCCATATGTGTTTTATAAAAAAGGAGAAAGGTGCAGGTCTGGGGGTGAGGGGGTGTTTCAGGGTTGGGTGAGAAACATGGTTAGCCACAGCCCGGCCACAAGGAAAGGAAGGCAGTGTGGGAGTCTTGTTATTGTGAACACACAGGCCTTTAGGCACCTTGGTACCATAGCACGTTGTTGCGCTGAGGGACAGATATGGGTGTTTTTAATTCAGGACACCGTCGCTGATTAGGACAGAGCCGTGTGAAGACAGCCCCGTGAAGCACCTGCTGTGTCGTCCCCTGCTTACTGGAGGGTCTCTGCTGTTTTCCAGGTGCCGATTTATTAAAGCTGACAAAGGAGGATTTAGTTCAGATCTGTGGTGCAGCCGATGGAATTCGGCTCTATAATTCCCTGAAGTCAAGGTAAAATACTATAGACTGTTCTGTGAGAAATGAGAATGGACCTTTCTCTGCGTTGGGGGATTTGGTGGGCAGAATGTGTTTCCACGCTAGGTTGGCGTGTGCCTGTGTGCGCCACCGAGCATCGGCAGCATCGTGCTCACGAGAAGACTGTTTTGTGTACACCTTCAGGGCAGGCACTGATGAGGGCAGAGGTAGACTAAGACTGGTAGCAATGCACATGGGCAGGACTGATTTCTTGAAGACGACTGGGTTTGTTGCCAAGAAAACAAAACTTCTAATTTAGGTGAGCTCTACAGAATCTATGGTTTTCAAGGTCATGATTATTGTTAAGCAGTTATTAAATGTGAACTTGTAACTGTCCGATTAGAATGCTAGAACTGTGACTGTGCTGGCTTTGAGACCTACTGCCTGCCATTACTGTCTCTAGACTTGTGTGGTGAGAGTTCAGTAAACTCGAGCCTTACTGATTTCAAATTGCTTAATCAATCTTGAAACTTAAATTTACCAGCATCTGACAGACCATCTCAATGGTTTTAGAGTCTGGACCTGTGGTAGTTGGTGTGAGGTGTGTGGCTTTTATATTTTTATTAGAAAATTATTTTGCATAATGAAATAACACTGTAAAGTTCTCATAAGGAAAAACAGACTTTAGATTCCTGTAGTTGCTGACTGTGCATGTGCTGAGGCCACTTGCGCTCATCGTCTTATTGATGGCATCTTCTGATTACAGGTCGGTTAGGCCCCGCTTAACCATCTATGTCTGCCAGGAGCAGCCGACTAGCAGTGTGCCGCAAGGGCCCCAAGCTGCAGGCGAGAGTGGCGGTGGGACCCCCTGCGGTGGGTACTGAGGGCTTCCGGCCTCTGTCCTTGCTGGGACTGTCAGCCGGGTTCACGCAGGGTGGTGGAGCTGCTGCCGCAGGCTTAGAGCAGCAGCCACAGGGCTGAGTCCTTGCGAAAGGAGAGAACGCAAACCTTCCTTAGTCCTCAGCTGTGTGTGCCTGCTGTACTTCTCATATGGCTTTATGCCTGAAATACCCAGGAAGCAATACAATAACCTGACCCGTTTGAGACCTTTCTGAATGATGCTGGGGAAAGCAGAGCGTGTTTCTTCTTCCCCCGTCTCACTGATCAGATACGGGGAGGGGCCCTCATCAGGCGTGGGCAAAGGTGAGTCTTCCCCCAGTGTAGACCCAGATGTGTCATTCAACCCCAGGAAGAGGGGAAACATTCTCAAAGGAGCCCCCTGTATCACTGCACCATTCCCATCTTCCCCAGGAGTATGGTGTTATGGCATGTGTGTCCTCAGAGATGAGCGTGGGGGTGGGGATAGGCCGAGGCACCAGCCACCTTGCCCTTGGCCATTCACACATTCTTCGTGAGCTCAAGTAAAACTCCAGATACAAGGGCTTTTCTGCCCTGAACTCCTCTGCCATCACAGCAGGTGAACAACACCTTTGCTCTGGGCTGGAGGGATGGCTGAGTGGTTAAGAGCACTGGCAGCTCTTCCAGAGGTCCTGAGTTCAATTCCCGGCAACCATATGGTGGCCCACAACCATCTATATATAATGAGATCCGCCACCTTCTGGCCTGCGGGAATACATGCAGGCAGAACACCATACATAGTTGCTTCTACTATATTAAAAGATCCAACTGGCAGGAACTAGTTCCCAAATTTTGATAGGGTAGTCTTTCGGAGTTGCCTTTAGTTTTGGGTGTGTGTGATTCGTGAATGTTCCTGTACATGCAGCTGCTCATTTGGGAAGCTGACTTTTCAGTTTCCCTATTGCAGATCCATGTCTGGCTTGAGTCAGTGGTTGAGCTGTATCCCTTGAGTGACACTCACCCAGATGTAAGTGCTGCTGAGTTCAAGTCATGGACAGAAAGAACAGTCTAACCAGACTTCATTGTCTGACTCCTTACTTTTAATTTGGTGTGTATCTAGGAGGTGACACAGATTTTTACTCTTAAATCTGTTGTTGGAGAATTACTGGTTCAAACTCCTATTAAGAGTTCTTTTTAATAACAGAACCCCAGCTTGCTTGTGACATAATTTATATAGCAGACTCCTCCCATTGTGTCTGCACATGACAAATGTAGCTCATGCACATATTTTTTCATCCTTTGCCCCAATCCTTTATTAAGTTAAGTTTCATTACTCTGATCCCCAGTGGTTTTTTTTTTTTTTTTTTTTTTTTTTTTTTTCCTTCCTCTCCTTATACAGGGTTTTTCTGTGTAGCCCTGGCTGTCTGGCTCCCTCTGTGGACCAGGCTGGCCTCGAACTCAGAAATCCTCTTGCCTCCCAGGCACTGGAATTAAAGGAGTGCCCCACCATACCCAGCCAATGTTTTTTTTAAACCCTCAATATATGAGACTTCGTTTGTTGCAGAAAAATATGAAGTCACATTGTTTTTATAAAGCATTAGTGTTTATTATACATGACCATAAATAATGTTCTTCAAATAAGTGGGTAGAGATCTTTTTTAGAGACAGGGTTTTTCTGTGGCTTTGGAGGCTGTCCTGGAAGTAGTTCTTGTAGACCAGGCTGGTCTCGAACTCACAGAGATCTGCCTGCCTCTGCCTCCCAAATGCGTCACCACCACCTGGCTGTGGGTAGAAATCTTAAGGAGGCAAAGAAACATTACCTTGTCCCTATTTCTGAGATTTCTTAGGCACTTTGAAAAGATGGACTGTATAGAGCAGATCAAACAGATCAAACATTATTATTAAAGTGCTACTTTTCTTTCTTTCAGTTTATCATGCAATCTACTTGGAAGAAATGGTTGCCTCAGAAGTTGCTCGAAAACTTGCTTCAGTGTTTAATATTCCTTTCCACCAAATTAACCAAGTTTACAGACAGGGCCCCACTGGTATCCACATTCTTGTTAGTGACCAGGTAAATCAAATAGTAGTCATTCTTTCTGCCACAGTGGCACTCACATGTATTGTTGGAACTGTAAGAAACGCTGCTGACTTCTTTGTAAGTATTGATAGTCAATTTTTAAAGAGGTGGGATCAAAATGTATGGGTTTATAATCAGGAATTACAGCATCTTAGTGGAGAAGAGTCGGGGAAGCTCAGTCTGCTTCCTCGACCTTTTTGTTGAAACGGATCTTTCTGGGGCTCTAAGGTTAGTGTTAGTCTTCGGTCCTTCCTGTGAGGTGAGGCCTTAGATGTGTTCTCCTTTTACACATTATTGGAAGAGCAATCTTTTAAAAACATGTGATATTACAAGTACAGCCTGCTTCCTTGCTCAAGCTATGTTCTCTGAAGAGAGATAATAGTAGGGAAACAGTCTGCACAATTTTGAAGTAGATGTCTGTAGGACCTGGTACAGCATGTGTGTGTGTGTCAGGTGTAGACTTTACCATCTTGTCTGCCACCACGAGTTACCTGGGTCCTGTAATCTGTGTAAGGAAGATTATGTTGTAGTCTGGATTGAACCATTTATGGCTAGTTAAGGACAGGTGGATCTCATACACTTACACGTCTGCTTTATCCTTCTAGATGGTTCAGAACTTCCAAGACGAGAGTTGTTTTTTATTCTCCACAGTGAAAGGTACTGTCCATGTTCGTGCACTTCAGAATGTTGTCATGAAGGACTGTGTGCCTGATAGCAGCTCTCATGTATTTATTGCAGACAGGGTTTCTCTGTGTATCCCTGGCTGTCATGGAACTAGCTCTGAAGACCAGGCTGGCCCCCTCTGCCTCCAGAGTGCTGGGATTAAAGGCATATGCCACTACCACCTAGCTGTATGTGAATATTCTTGAAAGAAAAAGATGAAGTGTTTTTTATAGAAACTATCTAATAGATGTAGAAATGGTTGGTTTTTCTAGATGACTGGCTATGTATCCAAGACTGACTGTTAGTGCTAGTCCCTGAATGAACAAGGGTAGTGGGAGAAGTCAGAATTGGCCACAGGCACAGAAACTGACCAGTGTGAAGCGTGGGGCTCCTGGGGGAGGAGGCATGGAGCTGTTGCAGAAGACTTTTCTAAGGAGGTGATTTGAAAAATGAGCTGGCCACAGGACTAGCCCAAAGGCAGCATGGGGCTCTGCAGAAGCATGCACTTGGCCTCTGTGAACCCTGGAAGAAAGGCATGCTGCTGCCATGTAGGGCGACGGGGAGCAGAGCGGGGTTGGGGAGAGCAGGCCCTGGCACACAGGGAGGGCTGGATCTTATTTCAGATGGGTTGGGATGGGAAGTCAGTGAAGTGGTTTAAACAAAGGAATAAGGGGATTGGGTCTTTTCTTCTACTACAACTGTGGAGAGAGATAACAAGATAACAAAACTGCAGGTAGGCAGTCCATCCAGGCCGAGGCTATGGAGTGTATGGACAGGGCCCACTCATTGGGCTCCCTGTTTGATGAGGGAGTAGTTGTAACTGCCAAGGCAGGTTGCCACCTCATCAAAAAGGTTAAGGTTGATTCAAAACAACTTGGTGTGTCAAGCAGGCAGCTAATTGTATCATTCTGAGGTACCTTGGGTCCCTTGGGCTTGAGGTACTTATCGGTAGTGGCTGAGATCCAGACAGAGCTAATTAGGCAAGAGTGTGGGGAGAGGTCCAGCCCAGGTCAAATGAGCTATAAAGTTAGAGAGGGAAGGGATTTGTGAAGGCAGAACCTAGACACCCTTCCCCACCCCCCAAGAAGAGGACAAGGTCTCAACGTCCCCCTTTCCTGGTAGTCACTCCGCAAAGCGGCAGCCCCAAAGGGTTTTGAAATTACAGTTTTGCTTTGTACCTGATTGGAATACATGCCACTGGCCATTAAGCTACCTGCCGATGAATGCAGCAGTGAGCTGGCTCACTTCTTAGACACCTCTAACTTCAGAACCAGATAGCTTTTATCTTGCAAAATTCCAGAAAACCCAGAAACCTGAACTTAATTGCATACTGTGTCTTGTGAAACCAGTGGCCGTTTGTGGCATTGGTCTTCACAGGACCCCTCCAGTCTTAGCTTCCTCTTCATCTGTCTCTGTGAGTGCCTTCACTGCCTCGCACCACTTTGAGGCAAAGTCTTGCTCTGTATCTGCCTCTGAGAGTTCGGTTTCCCAGGAAAGATGTGTGTCTACAGGAGAACCCACACGTTTTGTTTGTGCAGGGCTTTCTCTGGTCTGCCCTCACATAGTGCAAGCCTGTTTACTTACCTTCCACATACAAAGGTCTCTGCTGCGGTCCTCACAAGGGTCCCTGTAGAGCAGCAAGAGGTGTAGAAGCTGGGGCCAGAGCTGTGGAAGGGGGACTGACTACAGAGTTGTCTGAGGGAAGCAGGTCTAGAGCAAAGCAGTTAGCGATTTATCAAGCTGTAACCCTGAAGCAGATTGCACGTTTCCCTCTTTAACGTGCTTTTAAATTTACTCTTTTTAAAACTTCATTTTTTTTTTTTTTTGGCAGCTGAAAATAATGATGGTATTCACATAATTTTGAAATGATACCTTATACAGACTGAACTCTATCCAGTACCAAATAAAGTCATGCTTAAAAGTGTGTGAAGACTGAATCCAAGAAGTCTTGGGATTGGATTTTACTGTGAAATGTTTCATATTGAAAACACAAGATGACCTTCCTAACGAGCTGTAGGAGAGACAAGTCTCCTCATTGCCACTGCCGCAGCCCAGCACCCTCGAGAGTGAGCACATCCATCAGTCGACGTGCAACCAGCTCCCGGCCATGGGGGACACAGTGCCCACTTCCCTAGCCAGGGACCAGCGGACAGAGTTCCCAGGAGTCTCTGCCAGCTTTTTACACTGTATGCGGTTTGAAATGAATGTAAAACTCAACTGTGGGCATTTACCTTTCTGTGCCAGTTTGGGTTTGTTTCCTGACCCTCAATGCTGACCTGGGGAGGAGATAGGGTGTGCTCTCCTTGGGGAGCTGTGCTGACGCGGCAGCATGGTCAGGTAAGGGGCTGAGCACCTTCTCAGAGGATCATGCCAGACCAGGGAAAAGCCAAGCAGAGAAGACGAGCAAACTAGCAGCAGTACCTTGGTGTGAGGTCAGTGTAAACCCTAATAGGTACAAAGACTGGGTGTTTGGCTTTTGCTTCCATTTTTAGCATTTGAGTTCCCAGATTTCTCCTTGTGAAACCTCCTTGCCTTTTAAACTCACGTGGTTTCCTTTTCTCACCTGCTCCAGCTTCCCAAGCAGTGGAACTCCAGGTGTGTGCCTGTGCCATGCCGGGCTGTTTTTAAACATGTTTAAACATTAGAACTAGGTGATGTGATGTAACGGGGGAAACAGAGTATTATTGTTGATAGCTTCTCACTTGGTGTTTTGAATGAGATGAAAGTACCCATGGAAACACTAGATGTCACAACAAGACACTAAAATGTACCATAACCCCCTCCTCTCCCCTCACATGCTGAGTTTCAGTTCAGTCATGGCTGTACACTCTGGTGATCGGTTGGGGCTGTTACGGTGTTCGCATCTCTGCTGCTGCTCTGTGACAGGCGTGCCTCTTCAGGGTCACATGCTCGAACACCACTCTCAAAGGGGGGGGTCTTTGGCTTTCCCTTCCTCCACTGCCATTAATTACTCCCTCATCACCATCTCTCCAGGATTCAACAGCAAACTTCTTGTGAGGCCTGTGGCAGGTCTGAGTTTTACAAAGCGTTTTTTCCATTTTAATTATGTAGCATCTCCGCCCATTTGCTCGGCTGCTGGCTGTGATGTCTATCTGACCTTGTTCAGGTGGGTAGGAGTGACTGCTTCCGTGAGTGAAGGCGTTAACGTCTTGCATTTTAGTTTTTAGTTATGATGGGGGTTAATTATTTGCCACAAACTCTAAACTGTCTCGATATTTTCATCTTGGGCTTGGCAGTGCCATAGCTCTGCGGGCCCTTTAAGAGGGGCACATTCCCATCTGTCCTTCCCTTTGCTTTTGTGTGACCACATGCTTTCTGTACCAGTCACTTATTTGGAAAGAAGTGAATTTATCTACTTGTTTTTAGAGTTTTGCTTGTCTCTTAGCTTTCTTTTTTGGATCTTATGATTTGTGGAACAATAAATGTCATTTAATGCTGTGTGCTATTTTCTAATCCGTATCAGGGTTAGAAAAGTGGGGTGAAAGTACTCACAAGCCCCTCAGACTGAAACTGCGCTGAGCAGCACAGACTGCCAGTCTGTCTCAGTGAGACGCAGAACCCACGCACCAGCAGTTTGCTACTTTGTTAATAGGATGCACAGCTCCGTCTAATAAATGTTTTCTGATTGTTTTGTAAACGTGTCACTCATTTAAAACTCTAAGTTGTGCCACTGTCATCTCAGTAGTTCACATGGAATCAAGGACGTCCCTGGGTGTCCTAGAAACCTTAGTGGATGTGCTGTAAGAGGTCCACCCCTGTAGACTGTCCCTAACCTCCCTTCTTTTTCACCGATTTCTACAACCATACTTACAGAAGACAAGTCAGGCTTTCTGACTGGTTCTTCTAGACTGCGAGTGAACTTATGGTCACTGAGCGTCAAGTCCAGCATCTATGATGGGCTGTATTCTAGCGCAGAAAAACTGTGTGGTTGTCTCTGGTAACTAATAGAAATGAGTTCATGAATCCCGGGAGCAAGTCTAGTACATGCCCACCCCCAGTTTAGGTAATAGCTGCTGTGATGCTCACAAAGCCTTCAAAGCAGGGAATGCTGCAGCATACTGAGAGGCAGTTGAACTCACAGTAGCTACTGCTTACAAGGATTCTCCTGACTGTAAGGAATCTCAGGCTGTGTGTGTATCTGCTTCCCCTCTGCAGCTACGGCAGTGTACAGATCCTTTATCTCTGCTAACTACCATTAACCCCAGTGTGGCTTCACTGAAGGTGGTGGGAAATGTGGACGGCACAGCTGGCAGCAGCCACAATAGTAGAAGACCGGGACCCTGCCCCAGTTCAGGCGAGAGAGAAATGCCTGCGTTTGGGAAGGGGCTTAGCTCACATTTGCCAGCTCAAGCCTCGCGTCAGTAAAGCCTCTGACCAGTCCCAGTGAGCACTGTTGTTAGAATTTAAAAGGTGCCAACACTTTAATCATTTGAGTTTTTCATGTGTGAAGCTTTAATATAGTTCTGGCATGATCTCTAAAAATTCAGAGTAAATTTGAAAAAAAAAATACATCCATTCTTCATGCACCCCTTCATTATTTTTACTTGATTACATTATAGATAACTTAATTCTGGATTTCTTCAAGGTTCCCCCAAATTTTTTGAAAAATGTGGACATAATTGGCTTTTTTTCCTTTAGCAAAAATGCACTGTATGCTGTAGCATATGGCAGAGCTTATTTCCAGTGGGGCAATGCAAAGTAGGCTGCTTTTGTTTAGTTTTTGGTCCCTAAAGTTGGGTATGACCCGTTGACATAAACAGAAAGGTGAAGATCCTGCCCCACCCAGCTTAGAGTCATTTCTTTGGTGTCTTAAGGAAATGTGTTAACATGCCTTTTCCCACGTTTCTACATATGAAACTACCAGCCATTCTGAGCTTGCAGTACAGTCACGTTGATAAAGGTGCTGTTTAGTCTTCAAAGTGGAAAAGTCCTGCAAATCAGTAGGAATCCTGAATTAAAGTAGGCCACTGGCTTAAGGATCGAGTAGAAAACCACAGGCTCTTTGCTCTGCTTGGGTTGTGCTAACACTGAAGGTCTGTGTGTAAGATGCTGACAAAACTGGGTGGGGCTCGCGTGCCCGGGTAGGTACCCACCTCTGAAGGGCTCTGGCCTAAGTGTGTGCTCTTGCTCTGCACAGGCTTGGCGTGGCTTGCATCCCAGCAAGGTTAAGGTGAGTTCACGGTACCACCAGTTACTCCGGTCAGTGCTGAAGTCTTTTACCTGTAATGCTTTCCCAATGCAGAGTTGAGATTGGCTGATGGTGGTGCAGATTGGTGTAATGGGAGGATGGGGCCCTCGGCCTAAGCAGCTGCCGTCAAAGTATGACACAGCACCTGCACAGCCGATGTCCACTTCCTGCCACTGCTGGTGGAGGGGTGACTGGAGCAAAGTAGGCATGGACTTTGACATGAGGAAGCTGAGCCTGGAAGGAGATGGAAAAGGGGGAATAGTCTGCCCTGGTGTTAGGACTCTTGTATAACCTTTGAAAACCTAAAGATCATTTAAAATGGACTACCTTGATATCAGGAAGCTAGGATGCTGTAAGCTACAACTCCTGTTATATCCCCTTGTACCTCCAAAGCCCCGCAACTTCTGAAGACAAACGGCAGCATTTCTGTCCAGTGGCTTTTGTAAACAGCCCCTACGCACTTAACGCAGTCAGTGACCTTTGGTTGCTTTCCTTAGATGGAAGCTTGCAAAGGTGCCAATCACCAGACTACATGGAACCTGTACCTCCCAAGAGTAGATGTTTGAAGAAGCCTAAGGTAGTGCTGTGTAACCAGACCAGTCTGCATGAACCCAACAGACTAGAGAAATGGATGTTGATTTTTTTTTTTTTTTAAGTGCATTGTGTGCACTAGAAGTGCATGCCACATCACGTTGTGTGGAGGTCAGAAAACATTTGGGGATTGATTCTAGTCTCCTTTGCATTCTTGGCGTTGAACTCAGGACAGACAGGCTTGGCACAGCACCTTCACCTTTACCTGCTGAGCGCTCCCACAGCCTGGATGTTGATTTCTGGGTATCCCTGAGTTGCTGAGCGACTCACACCTACCCGCATGCGCTTGATGCCTGCACGTGTGACCTGCTGGCAGTCGTACAGCTCCAGCCGCTCTAAGCCACGGCAGTTCTCCAGGTGCTCCAGCGCAGCGTCCGTGACGAGGAGACAGTTGTCCAGCTCCAGCACCCGCAGCCTCTCGTGCCCACACGTGCTGCTGCTCAGGTGTAGGATCCCTTCATCCGTGATGAGCTCACAGTGGGACAAACTCTGGGGAGGGGAGAAAGATGTTCCTTCAGAGGACCCCCGTTCGAGGCTCCGGCTAATAAGAGCAAGAGAGCTGGCTCCAGGAGTGCCCAGAGTAACTGCTTGCTGTGGTGCCATGTGCCAGGTGCGTTATGGCCTCTGCAGAGCACATGCCATGTGCTGGTGACAGCCACCTTTAGTAATGAACGGAATCTACAAAACTTCATCAAATCGACAGCCTGCTGTTGTTTACCCCACCCCCACCCCAACATCCAGAACCGCAGGAACACTTAGTCTGGGGGTTTCTATAAGACCATGATGCTGTTTCCTTGTCCAGGGAGGAGTTGGCAAGCTCCTGCGTTTGCTGCTCCCAGGCCATAGCAGCTAACTCTAACCAGAAACAAGGAAATACATGTTTCAAAGTTTATACACACACACACCAGCAATTGTGTGACCCAATTCACCATTTGAGTAGAGAGGGGCTTCATCAGTAAAGCCAGCAGTTTTGATGCTCTTGTTCCTATGAAATGTACAGGGCTGGAGAGGTGGCTGGGTAGTGACAAGCACATACTGCTCTTTCAGAGGACCTGAGTGTGGCTCTCAACCCGTGTAGGGTTACAGGAGGACCCCAATGCCTTTATCCTAGCACAGACAATACACACTGTAAAGTGTAGACAGCCGAGACCCTGACCTAAGTCATACATAGTTCATTCAACTCTTGGAAGTGGTAATAAAGGTTACAAAAATAATGGGTAGTTTACACAGCCAAGGTTACTTAGTAACCAAGTGGGACAGTTTCCCCACTGTGAAAATAGAAAATCCACACCAACCTTCAGAGGGGAAAAGGGGCAGGACTGAAAGCGACTGAGGTTCACCCTGAGGAAGAAGCTAGTGTAATGTCTGAGGTTTTGGGGCTGAATAGGAAAGGGAAGAATATGAGGCCAGGACCCAGCTGGCGGAGGAGAATGTCGGGTTCAGAGTTTAGCAGGAAGTAGGGGATGCCCCTGGGTGGAGAAATAGTTACAGGATGTGAAGACCATGCAAGCTAATACATGAAGGGGCGGGAGTTGGTTCTTTCCTGTCACCATATGGATCAAGCTTGGCAACAAACACCCTTCCCCACTGAGTCTGTCCCTCCGCAGGGCTCCTTTTGATCCCAGGGTCACTGGGAAGATGTTACACTTATCTCGGCATCAAATCCTGTTCATTCTTTAAATGATAGGAAGAATTCTAAGCAAATCCATTTGTTCATGAACATTTGGGGCAATTTAGGGGTTGTAAGTGAATTTCCTTAAGCAGTATTTTAGAGTTACTTTGCATCAAATGAGTTATTTGTCCATTTCACCTGTGTTATCAAATTTATGTACATGAGTGCATCCATAATGTGAAAATTTGAAATTCTCCAGACTCTTAAAATTTTTGAGCTGTGAACATAGTACCACAAATAGGAACCCACGGCTGACCTGCTGAGACCACAGTCGGCACAGTGCAGTGCAAGACAGAAATGAATTTGTTTAGATCTTGGCCCTAATCCCAAGCACATCGTTGTGTAAGTGTGTATGATAAGTGTGTAATGCAACAGTCTGGAAGCCCAAACACCTCTGTCCCAAACATTTTGGATAAGGGACGCTCAGCCTGGGCAGATCTGGTGACGGCCCAAGGCCTAAGGCTCTGTTTACAGGGCAGCAGGTTGTTGCTTTGCTACTGTCCTGTTTTGTTTCCAGTTTCACTGGTCTCTACCATGTTTTGTCCTTTTAATTTAGGCTTTATTTTAATTTTGTTCTGGCTTCTTGCAGTTGAAAGATTAAATCGTTGGGATCTTTCTCAAATGCAAGCATTGGTGTCAGGGTCTGGAGTGCTGTCTTATTTATACCCACATGTAGTGGCGGGTTGGATTTTGATCAGGTAACCTCCCGGCTTACTCCCTTGAGCTCCTCCTTGACTCCTTATCTAGAAGCCTACTCTTCGGTTCCCATGTGTAACCTTTTCTGTTGTTGTCTTGAGCTGAGAACCTGTAATTCTCTAGTTCAGGCCATTACTCAGTGAGGCTGCAGGGTATTCTAAAGTGCGCCTACTCCAGGACACATCCCCCCTCAGCTTCTATCCGTGTGACCCTGACTATCTCAGAGACGTGGCAAGGCCTACAGAACAGGCCACTTGTCTTTGGGGGAGTGGCTTCACTTAGCATCTTGTCCTCAAGCTCATCAATCCTGAAGCATGTGCCAGGACTTAACTCCTTCTGTCGGAACAACATTCTCTGTGTGTGCACAGCATATTGCATTTACCTGCTGACAGGCATTTGGGTCATTTCCCTTTGGCTGTTGTGAATCAGCGTCTTTAGTTTGGATGTGCCCGGCTGTCTCTCACATCCTGCTTTCAGGTTGGCTTGAGTT